AAGGTCTCCGTCCATCTCCTGGCTGTCTGGGCGGGACCCGCCCAGGCCGCCCGTAGAGGCCCCTGGGAGCAGTTCGCCCGGGATCGCAGCCGCTTTGCCCGACGCATCGCCCAAGCCCAAGAGGAGCTGCGTCCCTACCTCACCCCTGCCGCCCGGGCCAGGGCCTGGGCACGCCTCGGGAACCCTCCCACTTCTCTGGCCACCATACCTGCCCCTACCCCGACCTTACCCATGTCCCCATGCAGACCACACCTTTGAGCCACATTCTGGCCTCTCCATCTCCTCCCTGTGTGTCTCCTTGCCTGGACCTCAGTGGGAGGCGTGGCTAAGATGAAGTAGTTTTCGTGTTATTAACTATTTATTTTTAAGTGTTGATTTATATAAGGAATAAAGCTTTTCATAGTGAGCAGCGTCTCCGTGTGTGTCTGAACTGACACCATCCACTATTCCTGGGTCCCCAAAACAGTTGCGAGAGAACAGCATAAAGGCGAGCCTCTCAATAGAGGATAAATTACATTTCCTATCATCCCTCTTCCCATTCTGAGGCTTCTTTTGAACTAAGGACTGGTGGCTTTTGTCGTTTTTCTTTGGCTTCCACCTATATTTGATTAAACCCCGGACAGTTATCTCCCCAAGGCAGCTGGGAACTGGACTCACCAAAAAAGGGTTAAGCTCCAGTTTTCTGTGTGTCCTTGGAATACAAAGACTCATCCTCCTACTGGCAGATGTGGTGAGTTCCTCAAGGCTTTCACATTTATGAGTGGGCCTGATTTCACATTTATAAATCATGTGTCCAGACTCAGTTTCCTTATCTGTAAAATGCGGCTAACAATTGCACATACCTTATGAGTTTGTAAGGCCCCAAAGGAAGTCATAATTAAAACAATGTTTGTCAAATAACATAAGTGTTGGCTAGTATTTATTCTCACTCTCATGGATGTCTTCCAATTACCCATCCTACTTTACCTCACCAGCTTAGAACTCTTCACAGCAGTTCAAACAAAAGTGGCCGGGGGTGGGGGGTGGGGGGCTTCCCTGGTGACTCAGTGGTTAAGAATCTGCCTGCCAATGCAGGGCACACGGGTTCGGGTTCGAGCCCTGGTCTGGGAAGATCCCACATGCCATGGAGCAACTAAGCCCGTGCACCACAACTACTGAGCCTGCGTTCTAGAGCCTACATGCCACAACTACTGAGCCTGCGTGCCGCAACTACTGAAGCCCATGTGGCCAGAGCCCATGCTCCGCAACAAGAGAAGCCACCGGGATGAGAAGCCCATGCACCACAACGAAGAGTAGCCCCTGCTTGCCACAACTAGAGAAAGCCGGCGCACAGCAATGAAGACCCAACACAGCCAAAAATAAAAAATAAAATTAATAAATAAATAAAATTAATTAGTTAATTAAAAAAAAAAAAGAATGGTCCAAACATCCTGCACCCTATCGAGCCTCACACCTTGTCCCTCCCCATTGGTTCCCCAGGCTCCTGCTACACTATCCTTTCATTCCCAAACCGACCAAGCCCCCTTCTACCTTAAGACCTCTGTATGAGCTGTGGCTACTGTCTGTTCCCGTCCCTGACCCCTCTGGCTCAGCTAGTTCCTTGTGATTCTTCAGATGTAGATGAAATTTTTTTTTTTTAAGAGATATCTTGCTCTGACCCAGCCAACTTGTGTGCCTTCCTCATTCATAGCAGACGAGCATTTTGATTTTTTTTGTTGTTTAAGACCCATCCCCCATGATCGGACTGTGATTTCAGGAGAGCAAGTGCTGCCGAACAGCCCACTGCCTAGAGCACAGGACGGGGCACTCAGGCGGCGTCTAATAAGTGTTGGTTATTCGTAAACTGGTACAAAAGAAGGCACGCTGGGGCCCTTTCTCCAAATGAGCAGGCACACAAGCTGATGAGAGTATTTCATTGAACTACTCACATGCCAGCTTCCCATCGAAACTGGACAAGCAGATGGCGAAGGCTTGGAGTGGACACAGTGGGAAGCGGAAGTCCATGGTGAACGTGTCTGGGGCTACGCGACCGAACTGGAGCACCAGGTAGTCCGCTGAGAAGGAAGTCAGGAACTAAGGGGAGCGGGTGTCATTTCCCTGCCGCGGGCCTCTGAGCCGCGAGAACTACGACTCCCGAGAGGCTGTGCGGCGCCCTCACTATGCGCGGAATCCTCCGGAAGTGCAGTTTATATGGCAGAGGGCCTTGTAAACTACACTTCCCAATAGGCTTTGCAATAGCGCGGAGTCGGCCCTGCCTAGAAAAACGCTCAAGTGCTAATGGGAGAAGTAGTTCTTGTCCTGCTCCCTTGCCCAGGTAAACCAGTTCCTAGGAACTCACGGTCATCCGGATGCACGATCTGGAAGTTCTTGATCGAGGTCCTAGTGACGCGACCATGAAAATTGAGCACGTAGGCGCCGCTCTCGTCGCTCCACGATGGGGCTTTATTTTGCAGCAGGACCAGCCCCTGGTTGGCCCCCCGTTGGAGGCGACTCAATAGCGACTCCTGTTCCTAGAGGGTAAAGTGGGGACGTGGTTAACCAACTACCAACAAGCTTTTTTCCTCCAGACGCAGAATTTTGAGTCCCTAGGCTCTCCTTCCTGAGAAACAAGTCTGACACAGTCCTCCCGGCTTCATATATGACCTTATGCAGTCCATCGGCTCCCTCTCCCCTTAGGACCTATGGCCGGTCCCCCAGCCCTTCCTCCCCATTGACCCAGAGACTCAACCTTGGCGGACTCACATTTTGTGGCTGGACACTGATTCTCTGGTTCTGGGCGTCGATTCCTGGAATGATCACAGTCATTTTCCGGGGCCCTCGGAATCCCAAGATGTTGGTCTCCTGAGGGTAGTATGCTCCATTTGGCCTTCTTCTTTCTCCCTCCCCACCGTCCTGCTCCACTCTCTCTCGTCTCCCAGACACTCACATAACACACAGCCCCCAGCTCCTCCCTGATCCGAGCAGTCTCTGGGACAAAATTCTTCCTTTCTGGATTCACCCCATTGTCGAAGATGGTGAATTTGGTGCCCAAGACATTAGATCTGCTCCAGGAGGGAAGTGGTCAGATAAACATAATAATTATTCCTATTTTACATTAACTGCTTTCCCATGTCATCTCATGAACTCTTCCAATCAATCCTCTACAAAAGATTCATGTCCCATGTTCCATGTATCTAGTCCCAGCGCCCTCTCTTTCTTTGGTGAGCCATGATTTTAGCCTCCTGCCTTGGCCCTTTAGGAACGCCCTTCCAAGACAAAAGAACTCACATATCCCAGCCCTCTTCTCCCACAGGAACTTAGGAATGCCAGCCCCGTGTCTCTCAAGAAGTCAAATGTCTTAAATGCCAGCCTCTGCTCCAAAGCCTTCAGTTCTATTCCCAACCACCCTGGGGTCGCAACTTGAAGAACTACAAAACCCATCAGTCCCCAAGAGAAAAAATTGTAGGGCAGGTGGAACTTGTACTCTACAGCCCGCTGGGAAATGTAGTTCAATTGTCCCCTTCCCCCCCAACCCCCGGCCCTCTGCCACCTGTTTATCACACACATCAGGACTCTGCCCACCTGACTTTGCCCACAAAATTTTCCCCATCCCGAGATAGGTCTGTGGGGTCCAGGGAGACGAGGTAATTAGAGGTTTTGCTCCTTTTTCTCTTGCGCCCAGCCAGAAGGAAGTGCTGTGGATGTGAGAAACAGCCCATTAGAATCGATTTCTGGTATTTGGCTAGGGCGAGGGGTCCAAAGACAAGGAAACACCAGGTCCCCAAGACAGAGGAAAGGGTAATGGAGCAATAAGCGTCCCAAGGCTTGCTGGGAGATGCGGTTCTCACTGAAGGAAGTCATCAGCTGGGTCCTGAATGGGGAGCTTCATTTCACATCTTTTTTTTTTTTCGCGGTACGCGGGCCTCTCACTGTTGTGGCCTCTCCCGTTGCGGAGCACAGGCTCCGGACGCGCAGGCTCAGCGGCCATGGCTTACGGGCCCAGCCGCTCCGCGGCACGCGGGATCTTCCCGGACCGGGGCACGAACCCGTGTCCCCTGCATCGGCAGGCGGACTCTCAACCACTGCGCCACCAGGGAAGCCCCATTTCACATCTTAATATCTGCCTCTTATTCCTTCGGCCATTGGGTTCAGGGTTGGGGCTGAGCCCAGGGAGGGGCGAGCCTGACTGGCAGGCAGGGCCTGGCTTTGGAGAATAGGGAAGAGCCTCACTTGGAACATCGCAGCAGGACTTCAGTACGTGTTTCATCGGGGAAAAACCAGGTCTGGCACTGAGTAGGGGAAAAGCCTCTTTCTGGGAGAGAATGAGTAATTGAGGAGAAGCGGCCACACTTGAGACAGGAATGGCCAGACTGAGAGGGGAGTCGCTTGGCTTTGGGTGGAAAATCCACGAAGCAAGGGGCTTGGCTCCTGAGAGGCGGGGCCTGTCCCAGGATTGGGTGGGGCCTGATAACACAGAAGGCTCACTGAGGGACCAGACTTGGATCGCAAAAGATGAGGCCAGTACCTCACGAGGGTCTGTAAGGGGTGGGGCTTGGGACCTTCCGACAGGGCGCGGCCTAGCCTTGAGAAAGGCGGGCCCAACTCGAGAGTGGACAGGGCTGGATTATGGGATCGGGAGGGCCTATCGGGCTCTGAGAGGAAAGAATCCTAGTGCTGTGAAAGGCAGGACTTGGCGCTGGAGCTGACTAGTCCTAGTTCAATGACGAGCAAGGCCTGGATTCGCCTAAGTCTTAACCTCGCTCAGAAAGGGGCGGGACTTGCCCTTGGGAGGTGGGACTTGCTTCCGAGGCTACCAGACCGCACCTTTCGGCCGTCGGCCGCCTCCAGGTAGAGATAGTAGAAAGGGAACATGCCCTTGTCTACCCCGCGCTTGTCGCGGCTGATGTGACACTGCACCGTGCGACCGCGCAGCGCTGGCCGCAGCACATACGCTTCCATGTCCTCGCCCAGCCGAGGGCCTGGGGCGCGGGGAGGCCAGCGGAGCGAGCTCCCCACATCGCTGTTGCCCGCGCCGCCCGCGCCTTCCGGGGCCTCGGACACCTCTTCGTCGGTCGCCCATGGGAAGTTCCTCACTGTAGACTCCGACTCCTCTTTCTTCTCTTGCAGGTCTTCGCCCTAGCCCACGTGCCAAATTCAAGTTGAGGGACAGCCGAGACCCGCCCTCCCCCCCCCAACGCCTTGCCAACTAGCGATTGGCCATTCCAACTCAGGGTTACGCCCTCTTTCGACCGAGTTTTCTGTCTATTGGTCAAGCATCTAAGCCACTTTCTGATTGGCCAGTACATTCAAGGGGCCCACCCCACCAAGCCCTCTTCAAGTGTTGATTGGCCAGCACCATTAGCCTCCCTCTGCAGCCACACCCATTCCACCTACCGATTGGAGAATGCCTTTGAAAGCATTGCCCATTCCTCTAATACCAATGTTCATTGGGTCTACTCAACTGAAACTATCTCACTTTCATCAGTAGCAAAGTGAGGGCCAGTTGGCCCTTTCTCACCCTTTCCAAAGCTCGCTGCCTTTCGAGGGGCTGGGTTTTAATGTATATACTCACATCAATTCAAATCCTCTAGATTGACTCAATAAATGGTGCGCCTCTGCTAGCCCAAACATAACAGGTTCCACTCACCAGTAAAAAGGGCCCTTGACTGGGCTGCAGAATTTTAGAGTCCCGTCCCCACTAGAGTCCGAAACTAGCCCTCCTCCTCCTATGTCCTTATTGCCTGTGCCACCTCCCACCTTGTTGGAGGCTAAGTCTCCATGGCCCCCGTCACCAACCATTCCAGGGTTTGGTCTCGGACTGGGCACCTCGTGTTCATCTCCAACATCCTGGGATTCGCTCTCGTCCTCAGCACTGCCCCCTAAAGGGTGGAAGAAGCCCGAAGAAGACTGAGCTCAGGACACCTGGGTCCCAGGAGCTCGGGACAAGGTCATCAGTGCTAGCTGGAGAAGGCCAGAACCCCTGGGTTTCCGAACCCTACTGTCTTTGACTGCTCTCTGGATCTAAGGACAGGGAGTAGTTAGAGTCCTCTCTTTCCCATGTCCCACAAAGAGCATCCGGGAGGAGGGAGCGAAGTTTGGAGTGGTAACCCAGAGTCCTGTTATTGAAATCGTTGATCATGTCATGAGAATAAAAGGAAATGTCACCACAGTGGAATATTAAGAAATAAAAAGGAATGAAATACTGATAATGCTACAACATAGGTGAACATTGAAAGCATGCTAAGCAAAAGAAGTCAATCACAAACGATTATATACTGTATTATTCTACATATGAATATAGAAATATCCAAAATAGGCAAATCTAAAGAGACAGAAATTAGATTAGTGGTTACTTAGGTCTGGGAGAAATTGTGTGTGGGGGGGTTGACTGATAAAAGGTATAGGGCTTTCTTTTGTGGGTGATGATAATGTTCTAGAATTCATTGTGGTAATTGTTGCACATCTTGGTAAATATACTGAAAACCATGGAATTGTAAACTTTAAATGAGTGAATTGTATAGTATGTGAAATATATCTCGACAAAGCTGTTACCAAAAAGGGGGAGGATTTGCCACATGGACCAGGGGACCAGATTTCACCCAATGTCCCAGAAATTACCAGGTCGTTGGCGGGCTGGCCAACCCCTGCGCCGAGTCCCCGGAGGCTCTTCATAAGGAGGTGGTGAGGCAGGAATATCCTCCACGGAGACTTCCTCCAACTCGAGATCGGAACTGCCTGGTAATCAGGATGGGGGGGGGCGGGTCTGGAGACTGGGATTTCTGAATACTGGGGGAGGAGAGGGCTGGAGATTCAGATTCTTGCGTGTTGGAGAAGGAGAAGGTTCAGGACCTGGACTCCTTGGTGTGAAGGAAACGGGGCCCCTGGGGGTCCTTTGGAGAGCAAGGACTGAGGTTCCAGACTCCTGGGTTCTAGTGGGAGTGGAGTTCCAGTGTATAGGCGGCCCAGGGATTTGAGATTACCTCTTTCTGTCGGCGATACCAGGGGTCCACGGTCGCCACTGCCATCTCCACCGCAGCTCACGGTGCTCAGGACACTGCGGGCACCAGGGCGCAGATGTGTCTCTGGCACGTTCTCCTGAAGGAAAGGGTTCCCGGGGCCTGGGAGAAGGTACGGCGAGGCCCATTAACACGATGTACAAATTCCGGTCATCTGAGAAGATCCGCCTCCTCACTGGTCTCCGAGATATCTTCCCTGATTAACTGACTACCCAAACCCCCAAGACCCACTCAGGACCCTATCTCCATCCCAAGACTCAAACAAGCACAGCCCTACCGCTAAATTGTCTCGATTCCGCGTGTAAACAATCTCACGCGGGCTCTCCAGTACCTCGGCTCTAAATAACCCAGTCCCAGCCCTCGGGCTTCGCCTACTTCAGCAGTGAGGTTTCTTCTGCCTAACTGCAACCCGGAGCTTTTCCAGGCCCCGCCCCAGCACTTTCTGGGCGGTCCCCAGCTGCCCCAGGCTCCGCCCCGGAGCTCTAACAAGCCCAATCACAGGACTCTTTCGGGCCCCACCTCTAGTTGCACCACACCCCGCACCCGCGCTCTCCCTGACCCCGCCCCCGAACTCTCACAGGTCCTTCCCCTGGGCCCTCACAGGCCCTGCACTCAGGCTCTCCTGGGCTCCACCCAAGGGTTCTGTCAGGCCCCGCTCTCGTGCTCTACAAGTCCCCGCACCAGGGCTCCGCCAGGCCCTTCCCGTCTAAGCCCTTTAGGCTCCGCACTCCCACAGACCCCTCCCTCCAGGGCTGTGCTCCTGCCCGACCCTGGGAACCTTTCCTCACCGCTGTCACCCGAGAAGCGCTCCTCCCGCTGCCGCGGTCGCCGGGGCCGCAGGGAAGCGTCAGGATTGGCCTGAACCATGAGGGGCTCTTGGCGCTTCCGTCGCTGCTTCATCTCAAACAACCGCCGCTGCGCGAGCGGGAAAAGGGTGTATGGGCGGGAATGGGAGGGTTGGAACCGGACCAGAAGACATGGGTGAAAGGGCCTGGGGCAAGGGGCGTCCTGCGTCGGTGGGAGAGTTCCAGGCCTTCAGTCCCTCAGCAACTCCTTCCTTAGATCCAGGAGTCCTGGCTCCCAGGCCCCTCCTCCCCCAGGACCTAGGAGTCCTGCTCTCCAGAACCCTTGTTCCTTAGAAATTTTGGAGTCTCATCACCAAGGTTTGCTACTTGAGATCCCAAATTCCTATTTTCTCACTTCCCAATTGCAAAACTTGAGGCTCCGACAGAACCAACGAGGACCAGGAGTCCCAGAGCAAGTCCTGGGGGTGGGGCCCCTGGGGAGGTATGGAAGATGGAAGAGTCGGGGGTGGCAGGATTCCCGAGCACAGTACCTGCTGTTCCAGCTTCTGCAGCCTCATGGCGGCAAGCTCATCCCCCAGGGCCCTGAGAGAGGTGCAGGTTCACAGTGACAGCAAGCAGGGCACCCTGGTTGCCCAAGAGCCCCTCCCCTTCTTCCCCCTGACCAACTTAGGGTTCTGAACATTTGTGAGGACACAGAAGAGGCAGAACCTGAGCCTGCTCCACCAGTTCTGAAGCTCTTTCTCACAGCACTGGCCTGTCTAGAATCCAGGAGTCAGAGATCCCAGGCCCCTCCTGTCCCAGGACTCAAACCCCCCATCCCTTCCTCTTTCAGACCCAGGAGTCCTCATTTATAGCTCCCTCCCTTTAGGTAGGACCCAGAAATCCAAGCCCCCAGGCCCTTCCTGCAAGGCCAATGGTGCTGAACCTGCAAACATCATTATGAGACCAGAGCTGAGTAGGTGTGGGCATAATCAGACTTTGAGCTCCCCCTTGCACCCCCATCTCCACCCCTGCCCATCTCATTTCCCCCACTCACTCTTTCTTCCATGTGTCATTCTCCTGAGACATCCTGGAGAAGCAAAATGAGGAGTCAGGACCCAGACCCAACATCCCAATGGACTCTTCCCTTCAACACCTGATCTTAAGCTTTAAATTTTCCCCTGGCCCAGGCAGCCCGAATTCCAGCACCAACACTTGCTAGGGACCCAGCAGCCTGTTTCCAGCTTTCGTCACTATCAAGAGCCCAGGAGTCCAGCTCTCTCTTCCCCAAATACCTACCTCTCTCCTTCACCCAGACATGAGAACTCAGGACTCTGGACCCCAAACACCCCATCCCCAGTGATTCTAGACCCCCAGCACCCACCTCCCTAGGATCCTGGAGACTCCCTTTCCTCCTCTCGTGCCTGGAGAGGCTTTTCACATTCCCACCTCAGTTCTTTGCCTCTCTGGCCAATTTCTAAACGTACCTGACCCTATCTTTGGGAACCAGTGACATAATCTCTGGGTCTCTGGGAAGTAAGCAGGGGGGAAAAAGAGGGCTTAGAGGGAGGGGGGATTCCCACTGGGACCTGCCCTAATCCCCTCCCTCCTGGCTCCCCACGTTCCACTTCCAACAAAGCAATGACCCCTGGCCTCTGCTGTAGCCAGGCAACCCTGCTCCAGGGGTTCTGAATTGGAAGAGCATGCAGGTGTTCCTTAAAGGGACCTGACAGAGGCCGCATCGCAGGCTCGCTCTACACCTCTCTCTTATATAATAAACTTATAACGTGACCTGTGCCAACTACTACCGATCTGTAATTTACAGCCACTTCTAGGAGAGAAAACAAATGGGAAAACTACAACTCCCATGAGGCGAAGAGGCCAAGATGCCCGCGGAAGCTGACTCATTTTCCCCTGGCCCAACAGGGAGTTGTAGTTCTCTTTGAAAGTCTCCGTTCTTTCGCCTAAAAAGCAGGGTATGTGGCGTCAAAAGGTAGGGCTTCCGAGAAAGGAGGCTCGGCTTTCGAGAAAAAGCCAGCGACTTCGACAAGGGGCGGGGCCGCTAGACAGGGGCCCGAAACCTGGAGCCAGCGCGGACCAATCAGGCTGCTGAGAGCGGATCCTCTGCGGGGAAAGTGGGCGTGGCCTAGGGGGGAAATCGCAGAGACCACACCGGAGGTCCTAGCCCAGGAAAACGCCCTCTGCGGTGAAGGAGAGGTAAGGGGCTGGAGGGTCCTGGACTCTTGGGTCCTGGGGAGAACGGAAGCGGGGCACCAGAGGGCTGGAAAACTGAGTCTCGGAGGACACCAGTACCTCCAGATCCTGGGAAAAGAGGAGGCTGGGGCCCTGGACCTTTGGGCCTGGGGAAAGAGGGGGTCGAGATCCCGGAATCCTAGTCTAAGCGAAGAGGGTGCTGGAAGCCAGGACTCCTGGGTCTGAGGAAGGAAAGGCTGGAGGCTCGGAATCCTGGCTCCCGGGAAACGAGACGCTTTGCGTCTTGATTCTTGGAAGGGGGCAGGGAGCGGCGCCGGGAGTCCAGACTCCTGGGTCCAGGGGAGAAGGCGGCTTGGGACAGACTTATTCCACCTCTCCGCCCCCACAGACCACGCCGCCATGCCTCCCGCTGGGCCCCGTGCAGCCCTCCTTCTCCTGTCACTTCTGCTGCTGCTGCGCGCTATTCTGACCGTGCCCCTGGAGCGGGGGGCGCCCAAGGAGGAGAATCCCGCGACCGAAAGCCCCGTGAGTGGCGTGCCCTGCTCGCCAGCCAGGTGTTTGCAGTGGTACTACAATTCCCGTGCCCCCTGGCTGGCTACGGATGCGGCTTGGAGTCTGCCTGCCATTCTTTGCCGTCCCAGGGCTTTGACGTGGTGAAAAACTTGGGGGCGGGTGTGTGTGTGTGAGAGAGAGAGAAAGAGAGAGAGATTTCTAAGCCCCTGACTTTGAGATATGGAAAATCAGGTCAGATTTTAGATGAAAAATCTGCATCACCCGCCCCCCCGCCCCACCTAAACCTCTCTGCTCTTTTAAGACGCCCTCCCCTCGAGAAGGACTCAAATAAAAAACTACATTTTCCAGTAGCATCTTGAGCAGGTGGTGTTAGTTAACTGGGGTGTCCTCACATCATGGAGCTCATGGGAGTTGTAGTTTAAATTATGATAGGGCACGGTAACTGCTCATTTATTCCAACTTGTGTTTATCGAACACTATGAAACCTTTGGTCTTAGGGAATTTGGAACTTGGAAAGATCCTCAAGGCCAGTGCCCTGATTTGTGGCCCGAATCCTACAGCTCCCACTAGGAATGGACACACCACTGTCTCTGGAACAAATCATCCCATGCTCCTGTATGACAGGTCCCCACCCAGCAAGTGAGGCCTTTGCTCCTTGAAATCTTTGCAGACACAGAAGGGCAGCTTGAGTCCCCTTGCCTTTCATTCATTCCACACATTTCTTGAGCATCTTCTAGGAGCCAGGCACAGTGCTAGAGCAAGCCCCCTGCCCTCACAGACCAGCTTAGTTTGCTGGGAAGACAAACGGCAGGGCCCTCTGAGAATGGACACCAGGGGTGATGGTCAGGGAGGAAGGAAGGGTCATTGAGCTAAGATCTGAAGTGCAGGGAAGAATATTCCAGGCAAAAGGAAATGCCTGGGCAAAGGCTGCGTGGTGGAGGAGAGCATAGTGAGTAGAAGGACTTACAGGAGGCCAGTGTGGCTGAAACAGAGTGAGTGAGGGGGAGATGAGGTCAGAGAAGGAACAGGGGGAGATCCCACGGGGCCTTGTGGGCCATGGTGGAGACTTTCTTTATTCTGAGGCTACTAGAGTGTTATAAATGTCGATAACAACAATCATAATAACGTTGACAGCTCTTACTAAGTGCTGAGTTAAATATTTAAAGATATTAACTGCTCTAATCCTCACAACAGTCCCTATGAGGTGGGTACTCACTAGCCTTACTTTACAGGTGCGGAAACTGAGGCACAGAGACGTTAAGTAACTTGCCCAAGGACTAAGATTGCCAGACTTAGCAAATAAAGACACAGGACACTCAGTTAAGATTGAGTGGGTTTCAGATAAACAACGAATAACCATTAGTATAATATACTGAAAGTTATTCATTGTTTTATCTGAAATTTAAATTTAACTAGGCATCCTAGCAGTCCGAACAAGGTCACATAGCTAGTAATTGGCAGATTTGGGATTCCAGCCCACTGTGTTTGGCTGAATGATGGCCCCCAAAGATGTCCATGCCCTAATCCCCAGAACCTGTGAATATATGGCAAAAGAGTGTTTGCAGGTATGATTGAGTTAGGTGGAGAAATTAGCCTGGCTTATCCAGGTGAGCCCAATGTAATCACAAGGGTTCCATATAAGAGCCAGACAAGAAAGTCAGGGTCAGAAGCGATGTGATGATGTAAGCAGAGGTCAGAGTGATGCAAGGCCACAAGCCCAGGAGTGTAGGCAGCCTCTACAAGCTGGAAAAGGCAAGAAAGCAGATTGTTCCCTAAAGTCTCCAACATAAGCTCAGCTCTGCTGAACCATCTTGGGCTTCTGACCTCCAGAAATCTAAGAGAATAAATTTTTATTACTCTAAGCCACTTAAGTTTGTGATACTTTGTTACAGCAGCAATAGGAGATTAGTACACCCACAGTGCCATAGCTGGGTGATCGGCTCCCATTTATCACCTATGGTGTGTTCCTCAGCAAATGTAATGATAGCGGGCTTCCCTGCCGATGCAGTGGACACGGGTTCGTGCCCCGGTCCCGGAAGATCCCACGTGCCGCAGAGCGGCTGGGCCCTTGAGCCATGGCTGTTGAGCCTGCACGTCCGGAGCCTGTGCTCCGCAACGGGAGAGGCCGCAACAGTGAGAGGCCCGCGTACCGCAAAAAAAAAAAAAAAAAATGTAATGATAGCTATAGTAGACTGAGTATCTTCTAAAGCCTTACCGTGGTGCCAGGCTTTTTATCTCTTACTTTTCACCACAGCTCTGAGAGGTAAGAAATTTATTGCCTATTTTACAAATGGAAGAGTGAGGCCCAGGAAGAGGAAAGCGCCAGCCAGCTACACGTGGCAGGGCCAGGAGCCCAGGGATTTTTGTCTGTCTTGTTCGCTTGCTGTGCCCCATAGAACAGTGCCTGGCACGTGGTAGGGGCTCGCTGCATGCTTGTTGAATGAACGAATGTATGTTTCACTGCTTTCCAACAAACACCAGTGTGTCCACTCTATGGGCAGTGTTGAGCTGGGTGCTTACCCTTGTGATTTTAATTTCATCTCCACTACAGACAGACCTGGGAAGAAGTAAGAGCTGTGGCCCGGAGGATCAGGCAATTTGCCTGGGGTGACGGAGCAACCAGGGTCTGCTGGCTCTAGAGCCTTTACCCCATGGGGCAGGCCTCCCGCTCAGGGTTGGGGGCTGATCTCTGGGCCCCTCAGCAGGTGTCCAGGGGAGCAGAGCCTGGGTCCTACCTGCAGGGAAGAACCAGAGAGGGACAAGGGCTGAGGCTACTATGTTCATTCTTTTTTTTTTTTTTTTTTTTAACATCTTTATTGGGGTATAATTGCTTTACAATGGTGTGTTAGTT